ACCAGAATGATGGCTCAGTGGGTAAAGGCAATTGTCACCAAGCCTGGCAACTTTAGTTTGATCCCTGGAAACCACATGGTGGAAGGAGAGAACCAACTCCTGCAAGTTGTCCTCTGACCTTCACACTCATGCTGTGGCATGCACCCCCCTCAAAAAATAAATAAATAGATAAATAAATAAATAAAAATAGATGTAATCAAAAGAAGACCTTTTGGGGCTGGAGAAATAGCGCAGCCATTAAAAGCATTCTTCTTGCGGAGGACCTGGGTTTGGTCCCCAGCACCTAAACCAGGTGGCACACAATGGTCTGTAATTCCAGTTCACACTCATGCTGTGGCATGCACCCCCCTCAAAAAATAAATAAATAGATAAATAAATAAATAAAAATAGATGTAATCAAAAGAAGACCTTTTGGGGCTGGAGAAATAGCGCAGCCATTAAAAGCATTCTTCTTGCGGAGGACCTGGGTTTGGTCCCCAGCACCTAAACCAGGTGGCACACAATGGTCTGTAATTCCAGTTCCAGGGGATCTGACAGTCTTTTCTAGCTGTTGGGTGTATCTGCACACATGTGGTGCCGCATACAGACAAGCAGGCACACACAAACACATAAATAGAAATAAATAAGTAAAATTTAAAAGAAGACGTTTTAAAAAATAACAAAAAAGTTTTTAGTACTCACTCTTCCAGGGGCTTATATGACTAGCTGTTTCGGGGGTTCCAGAATACAGAAGTAGAAGTTGTAGCCTATTTCCTCAACCTGCAAGGATCTACCTGAATCACTTCAACATCTTTCCTGGACTCCTGTTGCCTTGTAAGTACAGTAGTAGATGGTGTAAGTGCCATGTGCTCTAAGGGCAAAGGGCAGATAGCCATCGCTCTCATAGCACCTTGAATTTGTACGTTTTCATTTTCAACAAGCTTTCATGCATTCTCTCATCCATCCAGGAGACAATTAGGAGGAAATGCCTTTATCACTGAATCGGAAGACCCATATTTAAGTCCTGATTCTGTGTCTCACTATCAGATGAACTTA